CTCCGGCGGTTCCTCATTTCTGAACAGCATTTTACCCCTTCGGTATAGTTCCTGAGATGCCACTGCTACTCATAATTTTCCTATGGGCATTTAAACTATATCCACTTAAACGTTCTTAAACGCTTTCAGGAACCTAAGCCTAAGCTGCACTGCATCTGAAACTTTATATTTGAATAATTTTTTGACCTTAATGCCAAAATAATGATGGCTGTAAGAATGTTTCAACTTTGCAGCTGTATTGAGGCTTGGACGTCTTTGCAGTGGTCCATATTACCTGTCTGTGTTATCTTAATACTATTTGCGCATTCTCAAAATGTACGGTAATGCTTAAAATGATAGCTGTTTTGGTATCATACTGTAAGACAATAGACACAGTTTTACCTGCCCTCAGCGTAGAACTCACTCTGTTTATTCTTCGTTTATTTAGGTTTTGATGTGAGAACCTCTCGGCAGTTGGGCGTTCTTTTCTTCAGTATGTTATAGGGGGTTCTAATGTCTAGTTATTTCTGCATGGTCAAGAAACGACACAACATGTGGGATGATATTTCAGTTTTGTCTCCGTACTTTCGGCAGGACTTCGTGCTTTGACGGGTGTATTCATCTGTTATGAGTAGGTTAACACGTGTGAAATATGCTAAGCGACGGCTTTTTAAATTAAGTACATACTAGTGCACAGGAAGTTGTTGCTCACCATCTGAATCTTATATATCCGCTAAATGTAACATTCAGATTCTAGCCTACATTGCAACCAAATGAAGCATACTTAGACTGGATAGTCGTGCAGTTGAAATCTTGGATATCCCTGGATAACCCTGACAACGGTGAGGACATGACCGAGAAACATCGGGTATTCCTCTACAATTATTATAACCATCTACACCACTCTTGTTCATCTGCGAACTAAGGAACCCTTTTCCATTGTAAGTTCTTCGGTGATGTACGTACACCGTAGGCCTGCTATCCTCTGAGGTGCTTCGAGAGAGAGGTGTCAGTGACAAAAGGTTAGAGCAAGTGTGCCGCTTCGTAAATCACTTCGGCATCTGAGAAACCAGGTCAAGTCGGATTCCTACAGTGACATCATGGCCTAAGAAAACTGTGCCGCCAGCTTCACTGCCATCCCATGCTACCTACTCAATCTCCATGACTAATGTGTCAATTTTTTCACAGCAAAAGAAGTTGTTATTAAGGCAGATATGTCAAAGTAAAGTGAAGCACGTAATTTGAATGCTTTAGTTAATAACGCTATCTTTTCAATGGTATAAATTTGAAACTCGTGAGTTCACATAACAGGAGTCAAACGTTTAACCCTTCAACGCTCAGAAAAAATTGAAGTTCATTCATGGTAAACAAGCTGCTGAATCAGCGTCAGCATCACCGTTTTCTTTTGACAACCTAATTTGCGCATCGACCGAGGTACTTGACCCCGTCGCGTGGTTCTACTTGTTTACTCGTAATACCATGACCTCTGCGGAAATTGTCCAATGACCCCAATAGGGGGTCACCAACCGTCTGGGTTGAAAGCTGACTGATTAAATGAGCCGTATTTAACGGTAAACAGGAAACGGTGCTCATTTACTGGCATGTTTTCCTTTTTACCAGTAAGTGGTCGACCGCCAAAATAGCGCTGGACCGTTAGCCGAGTTTCAGGGCAATAAGTTGCGCTTGTACACAGTCTTACTATGCAATGCACCGGCTTATTTATTTTTGTCGGCAACGCGTTTAGCAGCTGATTAGTTAGTTCGTTTGCTTGATGCATTTGCAATTAATTGAACCTTATAAGAGTGACGTCATCAGCAATGTCATGTCTTTCAATAAAAATTTTCTTTGAATGTTCAATTAATCCTTGTAGATCTCTATTACATTTATGATAAACGGTGTTTTTCAGTTATCGTGAAACTGTTGAATATAAACCCTCAAATGATAGGCAACTAGACCTGAATCCAGAGCAAAATCCGCAAGGAATTTTCATTTCCAGATGTTCCTGTACCAGGCTGATCCCTTACCACACCCACCCTCTTCGAGCCTGAGTTTAACCCGCTTCCGGCTTCCACAGTCCCGTAAATTTGTCAGTAATATCCGCGCTTCAGTGATGGTGTTCGGATAAATCTATTTGGAGCGCAAATTTTAATATACAACGAACAGTGACGGCAAGAATTGCGAGTTGCTCAGTTCATCAATAAGCATAATGAGGTAGCGAAGTAGTTTGAAGCCAGACTATGTCAGCTAGATTCAAAAAGCGAGCAAGGTGATTTTCTGATGAACAGGATGGCTACGAAGACGATGACAAAGGAATTCGCACAATCAGCTACAGTTGCCGTCAAAGATTACCAAACAGAAGAAGTCACCGAGCATATGTAACAGGAATAGCTTATTGACTTGGACCATTCCTTTTCCCTGATGTTCGCTGCAAGGTTTCGTGCAATATGCACAGAAGAAACGCTGGCATTCTGGAAAGCTGAAGATCATCAGCCACATTTGAAAC